CCCCCCCCCCCCCCCCCCCCGAAAAAAAAACCTCATGCACATTAGCATCCCCACTTACCCCTACAACCCCTAGCAACCACTATTTCTTTTTCTATGGAACTGCCTATTCTGAACATGTCATATAAATAGGATAATCCAGTAAGTGGCCTTTTGTATCTTGCTTCTTTCACTTAGCATGTCTTCCAGGTTCATCCTGTTATAGTGTACTAGAGACCTGGTGCATGAAATTTGTGCATGGTGGAGGTGAGGGGGGGTGTCCCTCAGCCCAGCCTGCACCCTCTCCAATATGGGACCCCTTGGGGGATGTCCAACTGACAGAGATTGGGCCTAAACCGGCAGTTAGGCATCCCTCTCACAATCCAGGACTGCTGGCTCCTAACCGCTCACCTGCCTGCCTGATTGCCCCTAACCGCTTCTGCCTGCCTGATCACCCCTTAACTGCTCCCCTGCCAACCTGATTGTCCCCAGCTGCCCTCCCCTGCCGGCCATCTTGTGGTGGCCATCTTGTGACAAAATGAAGGCGTGATGCCACCTAGGCTTTTATTATATAGGATGTCAGAATTCCATTCCTTTTTAAAGCTGAATACTAATCCACTGTACGGATATACCACATTTTGTTTATTCAACAGTTGATGAACACTTGAACACTGGGTTGTTTCTACTTTTGGGCTATTAGAAATAATGATGATCTGACATTTTATGTGGACATGCTATTATTTTCTTTAGGTACATACCAAGGAGTGAACTTTTGTGGTCATAAGTTAACTGTTTCACTTCTTGAAGAGCGGCCAAACTACTATTCACAGCAATTACATTACTTCACATTTCCATAAGCAATCTATGAGAGTTCAGTTTCTCTACATTCTCAACATTTATTATTATCCATCTTTTTTTACTATAGCCATTATGAGTGTTATCTTGTTGATTTGTATTCCCTTAATGATGGTGAACATCTTTTCATGTACTTATTAGCCATTTATTTGCCTTCTTTGGAGAAACAACCTTTTTCAGTCCTTTACTCATTTTTAATTGGATTATCTATTTATCTTTTTATTTTTTGTTACTCCTTATCCGAGGATATTTTTTCCTCTGATTTTTAGAGTGGATGAGAGGGAGAGAGGGAGCAGGGGGTAGGAAGAAAGATAGAGAGACAAACATCGATGTGAGAGATACACATCAATTGGTTGCCTCCCGCACTTACAACCCAGGTAACATGTGCTTGACTGGGAATCAAACCTGTAACCCTTCAGTGTGTGGGCCAAAGTTCTATCCACTGTACTACACCAGCCAGGGCTCTTTTTATTTTTGTACTATAATAGTTATTTGTATATTCTGTATCCTGGGACCTTATCCGATACATGATTTGCACACATTTTCTCCTATTCTGTTACTGTCTTTTCTTGATAGTATCCTTTAAAGCACAAATACTTTTTAGTTTTGATGAACTCAAATTATCTAATTTTTCTTTAACTGTTCTTTGAGTGTCATACCTAACATGAAACTGCTACCTAACCCAAGGTCATGAAGATTTAAATCTGTTTTCTCCCAAGAGTTTTAATTCTCAGACTTAATTTGCTCACCCATTTTTAGTTCATTTTTATATATGGTGTCAGGTACAAGTCCAACTTCACTCGCTTGCATGTGAATATTCACTTGTCCAGTACCATTTGTTGAAAAGATTATCCTTCCCCAACAAACTGTCTTGGCTTCCTTGTTGAAAATCAACTGACCATATATGTATGGGTTTCTTTCTGAACTCTCAATTTTATCCACAGATCTATACATATATTCTTATGCAGTATTGTACTTCTTAAAAATCCCATACTAGAGAATAAAGAGCAATAGACTTGAAAAAATAGGAAAAAAAAAACAATGGTCAAGCTCTGCCTTCTACTTGGGAAATAGCTATATACTAAGATTCATTTTCCTCACTGTCACAGAATTGGGGATTGAGTTGCAAAATTACCTTGTAAACAATAAAAAGTAACACAATTCAGTTTTATACTTAATGATTTTCTTAATGATTATGTTAAACCTCATACATGATTTTGGCATCCAGGAATAAAAGAAAGTAGCATAGTAAAAATCTATCACTATATCTCTTTCTAAGAAACAGCGCCTAGCACATAGTAGGCCCTTAATAATATTTATTGAGTGAAAACAACCATTTTCCAATTGTTTTATATTCTTTTTATTCATTTTCTATAACTGTTAAGGTTATGAAGAAACAATTTACAAATTTAAAAACATCACACTTCAGATTCTTTAACAATTATACCCTTGGAAAAAAAGAAATCAAGTAAATTTCCCTTAGCTTATTTCTAGCTTTTTAATGTTATATAAGCACTTAAGATTCTCCTCATATGATATTAACATGAAAAGAAAATTTTTTTAAAAAAGAAAAGGAAAGCCCTAACCGGGTTGGCTCAGCGGATAGAGCATCGGCCTGCGGACTCAAGGGTCCCAGGTTTGGTTCTGGCCAAGGGCATGTACCTTGGTTGCAGGCACATCCCCAGTGGGAGGTGTGCAGGAGGCAGCTGATCGATGTTTCTCTCTCATCGACGTTTCTAACTCTCTATACTTCTCCCTTCCTCTCTGTGAAAAATCAATAATATATTTTAAAAAAATAAAATAAAATAAAAAGGGAAATTAAGAAATTATATGTCAAAGTGAATTCTATAAACATTAGTTCCTACAGTTTCTTTTTATGATTACAATGTATGCCCTTTAAGGTAAAAAACACACACACTTTTTTAGGGTTCTAGTATGTTCATATTTGTTCAGAGAAAAGAGCAATTACTTTGCAATAGTAATACGCAAATAATCTAACAAAGTTTTACTCCAACAAATTTCAAAGGTGAGGTCTTTCTAATTTTTTTAACAACTTTGAGGTATGCTAGTAATTACCTACCATAAAATTCAACCATTTAAAAATTATCCAGTTATTTTTAGTAAACTTAAGAGTTGTATAACCTTCACCACTATGCAGTTTTACAACATTTCAACATCCCAAAAGGATACCTCCTGCTCATTTGCAGTCAGTCCCCAGTCCACCTCCTGGCAACCACTAATCTACTTTATGGACATTCCATAAAAAATGGCAATATAGAATATGCATCATATGATATATGGTCTTTCGTATCTAGCATATTTTTAGAGGATTATCCATATTGTAGAATATGAATAGTTCATTCCTTTTTACTGCTAAATATATTCCAAGTTTATGTTACATCTGATGCAAAACAACCTATAAACAATGGTGTCCTTTTTCAGAAGGAGGTAAAAAAAAAAATGAGTTGTCAAAAACATCTCACTGTATATTCCCTACTACTGCCACTATCATTCTAAAATCTAAATCTTATCAGTTTCTCCAGTACTATTATCTCTTCAATGATTACCATCAACCTTTAAGGCAAAGTCCAAGTTCTTTGGAGGAGCATACACGATACAGGCCATGCCAATCTGTCCACTTTGATTTCCTGCGGCTATCTTCTCAAACACTCTGCCAACTGTCAAAACTGAGGTAATATACAGTTCCCCGATGTTCCCTTTTATCACCTTTATGCCTTTGCACCCATCCACATCACAACCTTTCAAAGTCCAACAGGAAATATCATTTCCCAGTGCCAGCCTCACTTTCTCAACAGCTTGTGCTGTAATATTTTACTTTTTACACCAAGCCCTACTGTTTACCTGTCTTTCAAACGCCTGATATCAGCACCTAACCTTGTGCCTGAATCACTGGTGTTACTATAAGTATTTGTTCAACTAAACTGAACGCATTCTGACTACTAGTATTCTTCTGCTCAATCAGTATAAGATCAAATGCACTCTAAAACTGCTGGTGAAAAATAACTAACAAAAGCAGTATAATACAATTTCAAGGTCTAGGCAGGTGGCCAACCAAACAGGATATACTCCAGGGGTCAGTAAACAATGGCACACCAGCCAAATCCAGCGTATAGCTTGTTTTGGCAAATAAAATTTTATTAAAGACAACCACATTCATTAGTTTAAAATATTGTCTATAGCTGCTTTTGCCTTACAATGGAATCCAGTAGTTCCAATAGAGACCATATGGGCTGAAAGCCTAAAATATTTACTCTCTGGTCCTTTAAAAATGGTTTGCCAACCCCAGTATACATCATGACGAATGACGTGGAAGAAAATATCAGAACTTCTTTTGCGTAAGTTTTCTTTGCCTCATCTTTTTTAACATTTTTGCATGTTTTTTAAATATTAATACAGCAGTGACATATATAATATATAAATGTAAAAATGCACATTCAAATTGGGGATGGTGCATGCCATGTTATTGTTTTTTTCTAATATCAGTGACTCATTAAAAAACACAACAACCTATAAACTCTTAGGACAGGTTTTAGAGTTTGAAAATTTAGCAATAAAGCCTAGTATATAAACAAGTTTATTATATATAAGTGCATAAAACACAGAGAGAGAGCCCTGGATTTAAATTTGCTCCAAACTAAATTGCTCAAAACACCTCTAAAGAATTTTTCATAGAGCTAAAAATGTTATTTTAATTATGCCAGGCAGTTTTAATATACTTCAAGTTGAAGGCAATAAAATATGAGCCATAAATCCAAACTGCTACAAAGACAGCTGTTTTTTAACCTCAGGTTCTGAAGGGCTCAGGAAATACCGAGTCCCTCCCTTTATAGATCTTAAGGTTAGAAGGGTAATTTCTAATAACAAAAAAGTTGGGGTCTCATCATCATCAACAAATTTATAAACTAAAGTTAATTTACCAATTGACCCTGGATTTGTCAGGTTAGGGATGTTATTCTATCTTGAATCATATTCTCCAACAAATAGTCACAGCCCCCAGAGAGAACTACACTCTACTCTGCTCACCTTTAAGGCTTTTTCTGAGGCCTTCCGAGATGACTAGCATCAGACTTTTGAGGAAGGCTAGCCATTAGACAAGGCTTTTCCCCACGATCTGACTGCTTGAAGTGACATCCAGGATCAGGTCGATCCTGTATCCAGGAATCATGACCCTCCCTGAGGCACCAGTCATCATGAGACAGTCAGTGCACTTTGGCACTTCTTGAAAACCACTGGGCTGCTCCTTTAGCTGAAAGGAAAAAAAACATCAAAACCAAAACAAACAAAACAAAGGGGGGGCAGGGGCAATCAGTAATTCAACCTGAAAAGACAGAGCGTGGGGAAAAATGTAACAAAATAGCCTTGTCTAGATCAAAATGTAGCCTTGCCTTGAAGTAAAAATCATAGTTTCAGTATCTTCCAGTCGCTGCACAGTTTATTCCTAATACAGAAATTTTAAAATTTTTATATCTATTTCATTATATCTGAAAAGAACACTTGAAAGTGGGAATTACATAAAATAACTATTTATGAAATACAGCTAAGAAAGTATAATGAAGGTACAGTAAGCTCTTGCTTTAACAGACTTCAGATATAACCAATTTTCCAATCCATGTCATATCTGAAAATTAACACCCTGTTAATTTTAAAATGCTTTTAACCAAGATATGCTTATAATTAAATTAACAGGTTATATTTTTTGTTACCAATTCATTGTTATTTTTAACAAATTTTAGCAAGTAGGCCATATGTTAGAAAAAATGGTGTTGTAGTATCGCTGACATAAATGTATATTACAAATCTACAACTATAGTCTACATATTTAAATCCCAGATTCACTGCTCCTAAACAATGTTCGGAGAATGATTAGCATGTGATCACACCGCATACGTGGTAATTGATTCTGTTGTCCTGTGGTGTGACTTTCTGCAGTAGTTTTAACATGTGTTGGCTAATGTTCCCACATGGGCTAAGCCATGCCTAAGCTGTGTGCCTTTGTTTACTCGAGGTGAGTTGTAAATGTACACATTGACAGATCTATTCAGTATAAATTTAAAATTATAGCAATACATATAGAAAATTTCTCTGTAAAATTAAATTTTCATACATAATCACACAAATGTGTCTATGTAAGTAAAAACAGGTAAACTAATTTGACAAATTTTTAACATATGCATTTGGAAAACCTACTTTATTATATAACGGACTTTCGGCTTTAACAGACACTCCCTTGCCAAAATTAGTCCATTATAGCAAGGTTTTACTGTATTTATAAATGACTAGCAGCTGAAGGCTGATATGAGTGTGCCTCATCAGGAGACCAAGTACTCAATTTTTTCATGCCCAAATCGTAATCTGATTTAAAGAGGGATGAAATACACCACACAGACTAACTGGCAGAAAATTGCCAATACAGTTAAAGCCAATCTACTACTACTTTTAAATTACATTCTAACAAATAGAAAAGGATTTAATCTTATATCCTCTTTAACTGACTTGATGCTAGCACAAGGCATAACCCCCAGACACAATGCTTGTCCTAGCATTCTGAATTGCAATGTTCATGCTTGTTTGAAATAACCAATTTTAAATGTTGACATCACTATGGCCTAAAATTTAAAAACTCAAAATATCTGATAAATAATAAGATAACTTAAGACTTGCCGAAAGTTTGGCTCAGTGGATAGAGCGTCGGCTTGCGGACTGAAGTGTCCCAGGTTCGATTCAGGTCAAGGGCATGTACCTGGGTTGCGGGCACATCCCCAGTAGGAGATGTGCAGGAGGCAGCTGATCGATGTCTCTCTCATCGATGTTTCTAGCTCTCTATCTCTCTCCCTTCCTCTCTGTGAAAAATCAATAAAATATATTTTAAAAAAAAAAAGATAACTTAAGACTTATTCAAACAGCTTCAAAATAAAAATTTTAATTATTGGAAATCAGAGAAAATTCTACTTATTTCTGTTTTTAAATACAAAATATTTTTCCTAAGACATAATATTAAAAGGCAAAAAAATCTTTGAAGTTGTTTTAAAAGTTGTCTCATAACTCCTTTAAAACATTTGTACCCTTAAAATAGTTAATTTATCAAACAATCTATATATATAAAAGCCTAAGTGATCATTACGACCGGTCACTATGATATGCACTCACCACCAGAGGGCAAGCGCTCAATGCAGGAGCTGCACCCTGGTGGTCAGTACGCTCCTACAGCCAAACTCCCTTGGCTGGCCAATCACCCGAGGTCCCACTCCCCCCGACCCCCACCCGGCCAGCCCGAGGGACCCCACCCATGCATGAATTCGTGCATTGGGCCTCTAGTTGTTTTATATTCCTTTCTACCACTTATTCAATATCCCCCATTCAGTAAACACTACCAACATCCACATAGATTCCCAAGTTGGAAACCTCAAAATACTACAAGATTGTTGTGGCTTTGTTGTTGTTTATTACTTGTTTGAGAATATGATTAAACCTATTAACCTCTGTCCCTGAGAAAAATGTGCATACACACAGATGGACAATGTCTGTAAATAAGATTTCAGGGAATTCACAGAATCCTCTGAAGCCCAAGTCCTGGGATTCAAAACTCCTGTCAAATACTGCTTTATTCTGCTACTAGAGGCCCAGTGCACAAAATTTGTGCATGGGGGCAGGGGGTGTCTCGCAGCCCAGCCTGCACCCTCTCCAATCTGGGACCCCTTTCACAATCCAGGACTGCTGGCTCCCAAATGCTCACCTGCTTGCCTGCTGATTGCCCCTAATCGCTTCAGCCTGCCAGCCTGATCACCCCCAATCCACTCCCCTGCCAGCCTGATTGATGCCTAACTGCTCCCCTGCCAGCCCGATTGCCCCTAACTGCCCTCCCTTGCCAGCCTGGTTGCCCAACTGCCCTCCCCTGCGGGCCTGGTCACCCTCAGCTGTGCTCCCCTGCAGGCCTGGTTTCCCCCAACTGCCCTCCCTTGCTGGCCTGACCCCCCGCAACTGCCCTCTCTTTCAGACCTGGTTCCTCCCAACTGCCCTCCCCTGCCGGCCATCTTGTGTCCACATGGGGGCGGCCATCGTGAGTGTTGGAGTGATGGTCAATTTGCATATTACCTCTTTATTAGACAGGATTACCATCTTTCAAGACTTGACTAGTATTATCTATTGAGTCGTCTCTCAAAAATTTCTGCCTTCCTATCCAGCATTAGCTTAGTTGTAGCATACCCCATGTTTTTTCCTGAATTGTTGCATGCAGTTTGCTAATTCTTCCCTGTTTACCACTCTTCTGTCACCTTGCTGGTAACAAAAGCTTGTTAAAATGCAAATCTGATCGTGTTACTCACCTGCTTAGCATCTTCAATACCTCCTTTGTAAATGTTAAACAGATTTATACTGTCTCCTTAGGGTGGTATCATCCGGCCCCTGCCTATATTTCAAGCATCCATACTTCTTACCTAAAATTTCTATACTTCACTCATATTTTCATAATTGCCCAATACATTGTTTTCATACCTTCATACATTTTTTTGCACTGTCCCTCTTCCTGAAATTTCAGCTCAATTCCTTACCCAAGCCTCAAAGCTAAGCTCCTCTCTTCATGTTCTCTCAGAACATTCTGTTTATTTATGCCATGAGATTTATCTCAATGCATTATTACAAATGCTTGTATGCTTGTTTACTTGCATATCTCCAGGCAATATGCAAGAGTCTTCTAAGGGCAAGAGTCTTGCTTAATTCTATCTTTGTGTTCCCAGTATCTAGAACACAGTAATTCTAAATATAAATGGTGTGCCAATATTCTTGTATACAACCAGTTAGTAAGCATCACAAGAAAAATTATTGCTGAATTGATCTAAATATACTTTTAAGAATTCAAAATCAATCTGGGGGGAGGGATGGGTTCAGGGTGGAGGTGGTCAATGGGGGAAAAAGAGGGACAATAAAGATAAATTTTTAAAAAAAAGTATTCAAAATCAGAACAAATTGTTACAAAAGGGTATTTTAGTAGCAACTCACCAGAAAGCAAATATTAAGCGTAACTATGCCCACCTAGGTTAAATGTGTGTGTGTGTGTGTGTGTGTGTGTGTGTGTGTATTTGTGTAAAATAATGTTAATTATAGACATCCAAACCAGGAATTAAAGCATAATAAGGATAACAGAATACTATGTAGTCCTTTGGATAAAAACTCCTAAGCCAGGGATAGCAAGCACATGACAGAATATGAATTAATTACTCCCCTTTTCTTACCTTCTCCTCCTCTACCCCATCTCCTACTCAGGGTCTAAGAGTCGGCAGCAATACAGCAAGCCAGAAGCAGTAAATACAGATTACAGTCAGCACATAAGTTAATATTTCAAGGCTACCCAATAACTGATTCTAAAGCAGACCAAACACAATATAAAATATTCACACAAGGCCTATTCCATACCCCTTGGAAACTCCTTTACAAGTTTAACAATTCTAAAGGTTAAGAATTAATTTTCTTAAAATATTTTCATGGTCTTTGTGTAAGTCAAAAATTTTAACTTGTTTTGTTAAAATTATTCACTTTCAAATGTATTTTTCACAGTTTTTAAAAATATTTATTTATAGTTATACTGTGCTCTAAAACTATAGTTTCTAAATCTGTGCATCAACATCAACTGGGATACTTCAAAAAATGCAGATCCACAGGTCCGTGCCCAGGTCAACTGAACCAACATTTCCAGAATTAGCGGTGTATTTTCTAAAACATCCTAGGTGATTATTATGCAGCAACTTGAAAACTACTATTCTAAATATCACAGTAGTTTACTAGTATATATGGAAGAGCTAGAATCAGAAATTTTCCTTACATGTACAGTGTTAGTGTTGCTTATTGTTTGCTGGCTCTGACAGGCTAACAAATTCACGGTGAAGTTGTTTCACATTCTGAATGAAAACAATGTTGTGATATCTTACCATAAGTTTCTAGATAATAAACTAGCTATTGTAGCTACATAGTTTCATTAAAGAGTGATCAGCCAGCGTTTCTTTTTAATTATTCTATTATAGTGTTTGTCTAGAGGCAATTCTTAAGAACTTCCCTTACACAAGACCTTGAAAAAAAAAAGAGTATTGCAAATATGAATTGCTGGAAATCCACTATAGGTATTAAATTGAAATATTTTATCATCTTCTTTTAATTATGCATTTTTTATACATACTAGAGGCCCGGTGCACAAAATTCGCGCACCGGCTTGTGCCTGATCCCCTTGGAGAACGGGCCTAAGCCGGCAAGCAGACA